AATATAAACAGCATTATATACTGAAAACAGTATTGAATTACTTCAGTTGGTCTCTATTTGAGTTCATCTTTTGCACAGGCCCACAGACTGGGCCAATGTTCGGCCTCTGGACTAGCTACTTATGTCTCAGTTGTCCTTGCTGGTCCTCTGAGCCACATCCTAGGGAGTTGGAGTCTCTATGGTCTGTTGTCCAAATAACCAATTATCAACATGGGAGACAATTAAATATATCTACACAAAGGATTTACTCACTGTATTATTTATTATTCTCAAGAAGTCTTGTTAGTTCATCAGAATTTGACAGAATTCAGTGAAGCTAAAGTTGAAATCCTTCAGAAAATTTTGGATGTAAGACTTTTGTATGATTATTATATCTGCAGGTAGCAAGTGACAGCTATATGTTTCTCCCAGCATTAACAGCATACTTTAAATTCTTTAAGATAGATTCATAACTAAATGGACTTAAAAATAATCTAGCTGAGACAAACTAAAAGTTGCATGCATGATAGGGAACAAATGAAATAAAAACTAGATCCCCTAGGCATTCACTCTTCAATAGTTGCTCAACTTATTTTTTTAATTTTTTGACAATTTTGACATAATTAGGGTAAAAAGGTTCAAGCACTACAGGAAGATGGGCAAGACAATTAGTTCCATATTGTTTCCTTAATATGTCTGATGTAGAAGGGGATTTTAAGGGAGAAGCCCCACCCAGTCTCCCACCCACCCCAGGTCCCGGATGTGGGGTATGCTCTAGTTGCTCAACCTTTAAAGGTTGAAAATGGGACAAATTGAAGCCAGTCTCAAAAGCCTTCCTAAAATGTGATGCTGAACCTATGAAGGATAGATAATTGGATTCTCTAAAAGATTCTGATGAAGTATATAACTTAAACTGAAAATTCTACAGCAATATGTCTTGAAGTTTTACAAGTTAATACTGTAAACACAGTTCAGTATCAAAATGCTATTAATGAAACAGGATATATACTTTTCTTTTTTTCTTTTTAAACTGCCTTTGCCACAGGGAAGTACAAATGAGGTAAGTTCACTTTTTTTTTTTAAATTAAGACCTATGTATTTGGAAACACTGTATTTCATGAAATGACCAGGCATGAATGAAAAGCCATGTAGATTAGAGGATATTTGAAGACTTCTAGTTCTATTTTTCTAACATTTGCATTTTTCATTGTGAATTTTAACAGTTTAAAAAATATTTAGTTTGAAATTAAACCCAGACATCATTTATTATTTGATCTGCACAAAAGAAAAAGTTTACCAGAATTATGAATGAGTCTTAGTCTGTGTCCTGAATGTATAAAAACATAAAGCTTCTACACGGTGCAGTCTGCTGCAGTGCAGAGTGAAATAAATTATGAGGCTTGAGAGAATTTAACTACTGGGAGATTTTTAAATACAGTTTCAATGTTCACAGGTTGTTTTTAACTTTGGCTTCTGAGTAGCAGTTACCCACACTCCAGGCCAGTGTGCATTCTAATTTTCTTGGCATACCTCAGACCTAACCTGTAAATCAGCACCCAATTCTTCTACTATGTATCTTTGGAAAGAAGTTGGTTACCCTAAAGGAATCATTTGCTACATTAAGGAAAATGAACTCTGTGGACTCATTTAGGTCATCATCTTCAGAAGCAAAGCTAGTCTTGAACAACTACAGTGAGGATCTAGACTCTTTCCTGAGTCTGTACTACAGTAACTAGCCGAATTATATCGACTAATCAAATACTAGTGACACATTTTTAAGACTTATAAGTTAACAAGGACTTAATTTTTGCAGAAATCAGTTAAAATTATTTAACAGGTAAAAGCAAATGCCACTTTTAAGCCAGACATTAAGAAAATATCGGAGTTTTTAAGAGAATGCATTAAACTGAATATATTAGGATTAGAACATAACAGAACTACAAAAATACCATGTTGTACTAATATCCATTTATAGAACTCATAATGGTGCCATTCGAACTTAACGACATTAGAAAGATTAAGAGAAAATAACATACTCACACATGATCTTAAATAATGCAATTGCTTGGGAATATATTACTATTTGAAGGATATCAAGTATGTATCCAGATTTTAAAATTACATATTACTGACTCTAGAACTAAATTAGATAACTCAGTTTTAATTGACTTCATTATGTGAAATCAGAAGGAATGGATTTTTTTAAATTGCAAAGTCAAAGGTACAGAGAGGAGGAGAGAGAGAAGATCTATCTGATGATTCACTCCCCAAGCGGCTGCAACGGCTGGAGCTGAGCCAAACCAAAGCCAGGAGCCTGGAGCCTTTTCTGGTGTGGGAGACCCAAAGCTTTGGGCTGTCCTCGACTGCTTTCCCAGGCCACAGGCAGGGAGCTGGTTGGGAAGCAGAGCCACCGGGCTTAGAACTGGCACCCATATGGGATCCCAGCGCATTTAAGACAAGGACTTTAGCCACTAAGCTACTGCGCTGGGCCCAGGAATGGACTTGAATGTTAGCTGAGGGGGTTAAAATGCAGTATGTAGAATTTCCTGTGGTTCGAACACTATTATGATGACACAAAGAAACATAAAAGATAAAGGGTTTTGTTTGTTTTTAAAATATTTGAGAAGCAGAGGACAGATGGACACAGTGAGAGCTCCTATCTGCTGCTCTACCCACCAGATACCTTCAAAAGATAGGATGAGCCAAACTGAAAGCAGGAGCGAGGTAACGCAGTGGGTTAAGCCACCACCCACAACACCAGCATTCCCATGGGCATTTGTTCAAGTTCCAGCTACTCCTCTTCCAATCCAATTTCTTGCTAATGCTCTCTAGAAAGCAGCAGAAGATGGCCCAAGTACTTGGGCCTTGTCACATAATGGGAGATGTGGATACAGAGTTCCAGGCTTTCTGGCTTCATTCTGGTCCAGTATCAGCCATTATGGCCTTTTTGAGGAATGAATCAGTGGATGGAAAGATGCATCTATATAAGTATGTATGTATCACCCCCCACCCCCGCAGCCCACCCTCCCCAGCTCTGTGTAACTCCTAACTTTCAAAAGAAATCAATCTAGCAGAGCTCAGATTGAATCCGGGAATTCTGTTATGGAATTTGGGTGTCCTAACGGGTGGTCTTAACCACAAGTCCAAATACCCACTCCCATCAGAATTAGTTGCAATGACAAAAGGCCTTCTGAGGTAATGTGTCTGAATAAAAGGTTTTGTAATGTACGAACTAAGTAAAGCAAAGCAAGGAATGCAGTATGGAAGGAGTATGATAACATGCCTTGCTGTATGACCTTAACAAGAAAGAATAGAGAATAAATTGTTCCTGTTCTGGAAAAAAAATAACTGTCAATCTGAAGTTATGAGTATCTACTGTGAGCCAAAACCTAGTAACATTCGCGGTGTATTGTCAGCACAGCTCCTGAGCATCATGGTGAGCTCTAACAGGTGTACCAGAAAAGCATGCTCGGTCTGAGAATAAAAACCCTGACCTTGCAGATCAGTCCACAAATCTAAAGACATACACACTGCCAAGGAGAAAACTGAGCTTTTGAACTTTAAAATGAGATACTTCCACATCTTAGAACAATGATCTAAAGATTATAAATTGAGCATGCTACATTTTATACAGTATCACAAACTAAAAAGGAAAAATTGTACATCTCTGTGTTTAATGTTTTTGTAATACTGATTTCTTGTGTTCTAGGCTTTATACAAGCTTTACAGTGCAGCAGCGACCCACAGACATCTGTATCATCAAGCTTTTCCTGCACCAAAGTCGGAAGCTACTGAACAATCAGAAAAGAAGAAAATTTAATGCAGATTTTGAGAAATACAGGTGCATGACCAATTTTCAGCTAAATAGCAGTTTTATGTTTCCATGCACACATTCAAAGTGCTTCCATTAGAACAGAGTAAAATATCAAACACCTTTGAAGACTACAAATGATTTAGTTCTTTTACTTCAGTGTTTAACAAGCAGACATCTGTATGCATGGTTATATCATTTTGTTAACATGTACAGTTTCCTGATTTCACCTTTAAGTATGCTGTTATAATTTAAAGTATTTGTCCATTTATGATGACAGTGTGTATTCTGCTTGAATTTACTACATTCTATTACTGGGTTATAATTAAACCATGTGGTAATACTACTGCACATTTGAATATGCTCATTTAATTTCTACAGAAAACAAATTATTTCACATAGCTAGTTGTGAGACTCAGCATCACAACTCAGCAGACTTAATCTATATAATTTTACATAGAACATGAGTTACTTATTTTTAAACATTTAAGAGCGTCCCAGTCACTTTACAGATACTACATAATGCTTTTATATTATGGTTTAAGATCTACTATAAACTTCATGATCAAAAATGCACAAATAATCATTTTGTATATGTATGAGTTTCAATGCATTGTATATTTTTTTCTTTTGGTACATAAAGAAATGTATTCTTCACAAGGTTTATTCTTTTAACATATGAAATATTAAAGTTTACTCTGGTTCCTGTTCCTAACATTAAAAACAAATGCGTATTGAATTTGGAGATGTTTGGGTGGTACTGATGTACAACAAAGATTTTTCTTTTTAAAAACTCAAGATGCATTTTCTTTGATGTTGACACAATTACAAATTTAAGTTTCCACTTTAAGAAACATGTGAATCCTTTAGGTAACTTGCAGTTAAGTAGTAATTCTGTACTTGCATTTCTGATTATTAAAATATCTGATGAAATTCCACTGCTGAGACTTCTTAAAAAAAAGAGTTCACATTAGACACTTAATGTTTCCGAAATGTACAAGTAGTAAAGAAGAAAGAGCATATAGTTTGCAAGATACATAAATGCACCTTAGAAAAGTTAGATTGCAACTTTAGCAACATTTGCATTTTTTCAGTATACCTGTCACTATATTGCCATTTTCTTTACCTGGGACATTCTGAAAGGAACTACCAATTATGTATAGCAGTATGTCTAAAACATGGACACAAACAACACACATTTAGTTTCCACAAAAAATATATTTAATAAGCTTGTTATATAAAATCAAACAACAGTTTTTCAATAATTCAAACTCATTAATTCTAACTGGGAGTGCTTGGTATTTTGGAAGACTGTCTAAAAATATATTTACATATTTACAAGACATGTAAATATGACTTAATAACTACTTCAACTAATGTTGAAATTCACAGAATCCAGGAGGTTTACAGGCTAGAAGTAGCATAAATTTGTTTATAATGAAATGTACTGCACTAATTATGAACAAACATCTTACAACTATAACAAGAGAAACAACTGAGAAAGAAATACATGGTTTTAAAATTTTGTGACACACTCAAAATATAAAAAAAATAACATGAATCAATTTAATGACCAATACTTCTTAGTGAATCCCTGATTGTCATTTTCGGCAGCTTACTCCGGCCTGTCCAAAGGCAGTCTTTACCTAGTCTGTCAGAGGCAAGCTAAACACCAAGAAATCTGGCTTAATGTAGAGCAGCCTATATTAGCAACTGGCCTTACGCTTACATTTGTTCATGAATGACTTAAAGGCCTTTCACTAGAAAACACTTGCTCAGCATGCTTCCAAAGGTTCCTTCCACGTGGGTGGGTAATGGGAGCTGGGGGAGGACAATCACATGGTCCTGTTTAGAAATTTAGCACAACAAAAGTTCCAAATCCTATTTCATTCTTTATATTCCATCATGGTAATATTTATACCATCCCATTCTAGACAATACCCCAAAATAAAACAGTAAACATCTTGGTATAAAATGCTGCATAGCTGCTCTGTTTTAAATCAAGGTGCTGCTGCAACAGAAGTTACCAAGTGATCCTTTCCTATTAGTAATCTGGCTCTAATGGCATTCTTGCATCAAGAATATTCAAGGCAGTTTTCTCCCATACAGCACTTGGAAGTGTTTTTGCCATGTTGGCTCTGAAGAGATAATTTTTTTGTTCAATAAAAGAAAAGTTTTCATAACAAAACACGTGCAAAATTAGTATTTTACAATTTCCCAAAAGTAAGCTGCCAAAGTACTTTTTGCAATTTTTCATCTGTGAAAATGTTAAAGCTCTTATAAAACTTAAATTTCATTTAAAAAAATTAACTTAAAAAATTCTTGCCATGTTGCTGGGCATACCACTGCTGCCTCTGCTTACGGTTTTCCAATTCAGTGAGAAGTGCCTGTCTATAGGCTTCATACATTCTGACAATCTGTTCCAGTTCCTTCATGAAGAGCAGCTTCAGCATGCCCTGGTAGGTGTCCAGGTCAGCAAGCTGGAAGAGTTCCCACTTCAGGATGTGGTCATACCTGTTTAAGAACATGGTCATACACGCGTTTAAACACACATAAACACAGATGCATAGCAATAAACCAGGCTGGTTTTATGAATAACAAAATTATTAAACCTAAATGACTGAAAAATGCTATTTAAAAACACCAAATGTCAAGAGGAAAACCAATAATTTACTGTATTTCAACTGAAGTTAAAGACCCGTTTCACTTTAAGCATGCTATTATAATTGACAGCCATCAACACCAATTTTAAACTACATTAATTCTATAATTTCTGAAGAACACATTTGATCACATTCACAAGTTAATACTAAGTGTCAAGTATTTAAGGATGCCTTAGATTGCAACATGTTTACAAACAAAAATGCTCAAAAACAGGCAGTCATCTGTGTCATGAGTGCTGACAGATGGTGCCAGAGAAGGAGGTGGAGGGACAGAGAAGCAGCAGTTGTGGGCTCTGTATTTTTAAAGTTGGGTATAAGGTGCTGAACATACAAAAAAAAAAAAAAAAGGAATAAACTCTTTATAGAATGAAATAATTAGTAGAATGCAGGAGATTCCATAATGTAGCAAGGGATTCAGGTAAGATTATATTTACATATTATATCTTGGAAAGCCTTGAATTATTCTTCATTTGTGTATCACATTTACAAATTGTTGTAACTATATATGAAAGCAGTAATTTGGATTTTGAATGGGGTTATGATTAGGGTTAGAGAATTATGAATTAAATGCTTTAAAATAGTGTCTTGCAATGTTAATATTTGTTAACACTAGACAAAGTACTTAAACTATAACAAGTCAAGTGCCATATGATATTTAAGTTACAACTATAAAATCCCATTAAAAAGCAAAATAAGGTTAAATTCAAGTTCTAGCAAAATTATTACTTTTTTAAAACAATTTTTAAAGATTTATTTATTTTTATTGGAAAGGCAGATTTACAGGGAGAAGGAGATACAGAGAGAAAGATCTGCCATCTGCTGATTCACTCCTCAAGCAGCCACAATGGCTGGAACTCAGCCAATCTGAAGCCAGGAGCCAGCGTTTCTTAAGGGTCTCCACACAGGTGCAGGGTCCCAAGGCTTTGGGCTGTCCTCGACAGCTTTCCCAGGCCACAAGCAGGGAGCTGAATGGGAAGTGGAGCAGCCAGACAGGAACTGGTGCCCATATGGAATACTGGCGTGACCAAGGCGAGGACTTTAGCCACTGAGCCATTGTATCAGGCCCACTAAATTCTTACTAACTTCCAGACCAGGTGCAATTACTATCCCCAATTTATAGAATAAGGAACTAGATCAAATAACCATCCCAAGGTTACAAAGTTTTAAAAAGTTTTAAGTGAACTTTAGCTCACCTTATCCCAGAGCTCACAGCCCTGTAAGTATAGTTTTCTCAATATACTTTTGTCCTGCTTTGTTTCACTCATGTATTTAGGACTTACCTGAGTCCTTAAATTTATCCTAACTACCCTTATTTACCTTTATCTATGTAAATCTCCTTTGACAATCTAAACTTCTTATTGTATCTCTAACAGCAGAGGTGTGCATACAAATTCAAGAAATATTTATTACAATTAGTAACTTCCATACCTTACAAATAAAACTACTACTTAGAAACTCAATTAAGAGAAAAACAGGGCACTGTCCAGATTAAGCAGCCCTCAGACCCCATTCATTCTTCTATTTAACCCTTAAAAATCCATGCTGCGTGTTCACTTACTTCACAGGGGCTCGAGCATAAACCTGAAGCCAGTCAGGAATTTCTGCAGTGTGATACGGATTTGCAGGTACCAGAAGGGACTGGTTTCTTTCAGTTTGTTGTGGCTGGTATGTCACAGGAGGAGGTTGATCATACCGAGGAACGCTAAGAAAGAATTGACATTCATTGAAATAAAAAGAATGTAAGCAGGAAATTATAAACCAACCAACCAAGTAACAGTTAAGCATCTTCCAGTGTGTCTCTTGTTGAAAATGTCTTCCTCCTACAACTTAAAAGATACTTTCCTATGGCAAAGGTCAACTTTATCAGATTACATGGAACATAAACCTTTCTTTGGAAACTACTATGTTACACAAATCTACATAAAATATTTGTGTGTGTTTTAAGAAATTTCTTCTGGCTAGTGTTTATTCTTTCCAAAAACAGCTTTGGGCCCTGCACAGTAGCCTAGCAGCTAAAGTCCTCTCCTTGCACACGCCAGGATCCCACATGGGCACCGATTCATATCTTGGTTGCTGAACTTCAATTACAGTAACTGAAAAAAGTTAGTTTTAGAAGTACTTGATGGGGGGTCAAGTGTGGCAGCCTAGTGGCTGAAGTCCTTATCTTGCATGCACCAGGATCCCATATGGATGCCAGTTAAAATCCCGGCTGCTGCACTTCCCATCCAGCTCCCTGTTTGTGACCTGGGAAAGCAGTGGAGGACGACCCAAAACCTTGGGACCCTGCACCTGTGTGGGACACCCAGAAGAGGCTCCCAGTTCCTGACTTCTGCTTGGTTCAGCTCCGGCCATTGCAGCCACTTGGGAAGAGAATTAGCAGACTGAAGATCTTCCTCTCTGTCCTCCTCTCTGGTGTATCTGATTTTCCAATAAAAATAAATCTTACAAAACAAAACAAAACAAAAACAGCTTCAATGAGCCTATAAAAACTGGGGAAATTTTTTTAAAGATTTATTTTTATTAGAAAGACAGATATGCAGAGAGAAGGAGAGACAGAAGGATTTTCTATCTTGCTGGTTCACTCCCCAAGTGACTGCAATGGCCAGAGCTGAGCTGATCCAAAGGCAGGAGCCAGGAGCTTTAGTCTCCCACACAGGTACAGGATCCCAAGGCTTTAGGCCATCCTTGATTGCTTCTCAGGCCACGGGTAGGGAGCTGGATGGGAAGTGGAGCAGCCAGGACACAAAGCAGTGCCTATATGGGATCCCAGTGCATGCAAGGCAAGGACTTAAGCCAATCAGCTACCACGCCAGACCTGGGAAAACTTTTTAAAAGAATTTTGAAAACCATACAAAGAATTTTGTAACCAAAGTGGCTTAAAACTAGAGCATTATATATTTTTTGCAATAATTAGAAATTTTTAACTAGGAATTAGCTGTGGGGCTAGTGCCATGATGTAGCAGCCTAATCCTCTGCCTGTGGTACCAGTATCCCATGGGTGTCAGCTTGAGTCCCCACTGTTCCAATTCCGATCCAGGTCCTTGCTGATGTGCTATGGGAAGTAGCAGATGGTCCAAGTGCTTGGGCCCCTAAATCCACATGGGAGGCCCAGAAGGTCCTGGCTTCAGACTGGTGAAGCTCTGGCTGTTGCAGTCATTTAGCAGTGAGCCAGCAGATGGAAGATCTGCCTTTCAAATAAAAATAAATAAATAAAAGCCTTAAAGATGGGTGGTTGGGCAGCACGTCGGTTCAATTGGCTAATCCTCCCCTTGCAAGTGCCAAGTTTCCATATCAGTGCTGGTTGGTATCCCAGCTGCTCCACTTCCCTTCCAGCTCCCTGCTTGCACCCTGGCAAGGCAGTAGAGGATGGCCCAAGCTTGGAAACCTGCACCCATATGTGAGAGCCAAAGGCAGCTCCTGGCTCCTGGGTTTGGATCAGCTCAGCTCAGCTCTGGTGTGAACCTTAGGATGGAAGATCTTTATCTGTCTCTCCTCTCTGTAAATATGCCTTTCTAATAAAAATAAATAAATCTTAAAAAAAAAAAAGCTGCAAATTCCAAATGAAGAAAGATGCTTTCCTCCTCTTGCAGGCAGAAAATAAGGGGGTAGGCTGTGTGGGACCATAAGAGTGAGATGCTGTGCTGCAAAGCAAGGGGGAGGATGTGTAGGACTATGGGGGTACTGTGCTGAAAGTATTCACCTTACTTCCTATTTTACACCTTCAGTTGTGGGGAACCTTTCTGCTGCCAAAGACCATTTGGATATTTATATCATTCTTGGGCCACACAAAATTATCAACTTAAAAATTAACCTGCTGAAGATGTACTGAAATTTTAATTCCTCCTGAAGTTGCCTTGGCAGGCCAGACCAAATGACTTTGCAAGTCACGTACGCCTTGTTGATGGGATGGTTCCCAGCCTTGCAAAAAAACTTACGGTAATTAGAATTGATTGGAATCTGTATTGAGTTAATTTCCATTTGTTATTTATTATTATTTAAAGATTTATTTTTATTGGAAAGGCGGATATACAAAGAGGAGGAGAGACAGAGAGGAAGATCTTCTGTCCGATGGTATACTCCCCAAATGACCACAATGGCTGGAGCTGAACCAATCCGAAGCCAGGAGCCAGAAGCTCTTCCAGGTCTCCCATGTGGTTGCAGGGTCCCAAGGCTTTTGGGCCATCCTCGACTGCTTTCCCAGGCCACAGGCAGGGAGCTGGAAGGGAAGTGGATCTAACGGGACTAGAACCGGCACCCATATGGGATGCCAGCACGTGCAAGACGAGGACTTTAACCACTACGCTATCACGCTGGGGTCGTATTTATTTTTTGAAAGGCAGAAAAAGAGAATTTCCCCTTTGTTGGTCCATTCTACAAATGTTCCCAACACCTGGGCTTGGGCCAGGCTGAAGTACAGCCCTGGAAACTCAACTGGATCTCCTACTGTGAGGCAGGGACCCAAGACTTGACATATCACCTGCTGCTTGCCATGGTGCTATTAGCACGGAGCTTGAACTGAGAGCAGAGAAGGGACTTTAATCCAAGTACCCTGATATTCAGACATTCCAGGTGGCATCAGCGTGCTGACCAATGTTACTTAGTATCATCTGGCACTAAATACCAAAGATCTGTAACATGCCAGACGATACTAAGTAACGTTGGTCAGCACATTGATGATATTTTACTCATCCTCAACATTGTGGATCTGTTCTCCAACTTCAAATATGGTTCATATGAATTACCTGCAACTTCATTTCTAAGCTAACACTAGGCTTTTATGTACTCTGAAATCCAATGCATACTTCTATCACATCTCAGTTTGTATAAATCACATTTTAAGAGCACAATAGCAAGTTTGACAAAATGCCTGCAATGCTGGGATAAGGCTTAACATCTGGCAAGAAACCAGATGTACTGATGAGCTCAGTATCAACCAAAATTGCCCAAAGAATTGCTGGCTAAATTTACTGCACAAGTCTCAGATGTTCTGTCCAGTTCCAACTTTCATCTTCTTGTCTAATAGCAAAGAAACAGAATGTAATATCATGTTTTAAATTATATAAAGATATAATTTAAAAATCTACTTTGACTCAATAGGCAGTTAGTACTATTCATAGCAATGTAAAAAGTAGCAAATGTTTTCGAAGTTACCTCAATTTGAGCATCTATAGCAAAACACTCTGATACATTAAAGACACTGATCGCAGTAACAGTGATCTTGTCTTCAAGGATTGATGAGAAAAGGATTTAAAATTTTTGTAATTATTAAAATCATTCATTATCAAACACAGATTTAGAAACAAAGTCATAAATTTTGAAGAATAAGGTTTTCAAATCTCAAGCATCAGGATGCCTTTTTTTTTGAGTCCAAAACCCAGTATTAGATAATCTCAAAATAAAAAACTGAAAAGGAAGTTGACACCATACCTAGGAGCACAGGGATGTCGGTACTGAGCCTTCTTATTTGTGTGATCTACGTAATAGGTTCCAAATTCTGGGGATTCTACTCGCTCCCATCCAGGAGGAAGTCCTTCTCGCTCAAGAGGATGGCTCCAATGAGTTGTATTAGTGTTATGATCTATGTAATATTTTCTTCCTCTCATTGTCCAGTCCACAGTCCAGCCAGGAGGAAGGGGTAAATCCTCAGAACCATGATTAGTCAAATTTCCTAGTGATGTAGCAGCAACTCTCCCAATACCTGAGGAAAAAAGAGGAAAAGAAAAAAAATGCAATCATTCGAAGAAAACAAAATCAATAAAGCCAGCTAAAAAAGTTACAAAATTAAATTATCTGGTTGTGTCCTTCTGTTAAAATATATGGTTATGTCATTAAAATTATTTCATAAGTAAGGGGCAGGTGTAGCAGCAGAGAGGATCATGCCTGCTGCTGCTGCTTTGGGGTTCCAGCCCCAGCTTCTCCGCATCCCTTTTAGTCTCCTGTTAATGTGCCTGAGAAAGCAGAAGATGATGATCCAAGAACTTGGGTCTCTGCCATCCACACTGGAGATCAGGATGGAATTCCAGGCTCCTGGCTCTAATCCAGTCTGTTCTTGTCTGTGGTGGGCTTTGTGCAGTGAAAATGTCACCTAACTCAAGATTTATTATTTGGCATAGCAGGAAAAGCTGCCATCCGTGACACTAGCATTCCATAGGGGTGCTTGGTTTATGTCCCAGTTGCTCTATTTCCAATCCAGCTCCCTACTAATGTCCTGGGAAAGCAGCAGAAAATGGTCCGAGTGCTTGGGCCTCTGTACCCATGTGAGAGACCCAGAAGAAACTCTGGGATGCTGGCTTGAGCTTGGCCCAACCCTGACCATTAGGGGTGTGAAATTGCAGATGCGAAGCTCAGTCCCCCACTCTTGCTCGCTCTTTAACTCTGTCTCAAATAAGTAAATCTTAAAACAAACAAAAAGGATTGAATATTTACTATTTCATTTAAAGAAAAGCAAAAATAAGTTTATACAATCATTCCCAGTTTATACGTCTTCTAAAACAAATCTGACCTTCCCTTAGAATTAAGATTATTAGGGTGGTGAGGTCTAAGGTCAACAAGGAAAACCCAAATAAATCTCTTTATAGTAGCAATCAACAACTGGAAACAAAAGTTATTGAACTATTACTATTCCAAAAACTCAAATAATTACTATAAATCTAATAAAACATGCAGAAGTAAGAAGCTGAAGACTAAAAACAATGATGAAAGAAGAGCAAGCAGATTCGTGGACTGGAAAACGTGACACTTAAGATGTCAATTCTCCCATAATGAGCTTTGTCTTTACAGAAATTCCAATCAAAAACCTAGCAGAAGTCTTTATAGATATTAGACAAGCAGACTTTCGAAATATATATGAACAGGCAACAGAACAGTGTGGGTATCTGATTAGCAGTTAAAGATGCCCGTGTCTTGGAGGGCCTGGGCTCAAGTCTAGCTGTGCCCCTGATTCCAGCTTCCTGCAAATACAAACTGTGGGAGGCAGCAAATAAGGGCTCTAGAGGTTGGTCCCTGGCCTCCACATGGGACACCTGTTTTGAGTTCCTGGCTCCCAGCTTCAACCTGCCTGCCTTGACTGTTGTGAACTTCTGGAAGTAAACCAGTGGATGGGAGCTCCTGTGCTGTTTCTCAAAAAACTAAAACCAAATCAAATGAAAACAAAACAACCAACCAACAGAAAATAAAAACTAGAAATAAGAATAAAGTTAGAGGACTCATATTACCTAATTTTAAGATTTCCTATGAAGCTACAACAATCAAAACAGTGTGGGACTAACAAAACAACAGACAAACAAATGGATCAATGGAAGAGAACAGATTTTAAAAGTATACTCGCACATATCATGGTCAACTGATTTTTGATAAAGGACAATTCAGTGAATAAAGCTGTTTTATCAACACATGCTGATGGATAGACACTCAGATGCAAAAAATTAAATGCAACCTAGACTTCCTCATTTTATACAGAAATTAATTCAAAATGGGTCATATATCTAAAGAACTAAATTTTTAAGAAAAAAGTATAATTGATTTTCATGATCTTATATTAAGCAATGAATTCTTTTTTTTTTTTTTTATTGGAAAGGCGGATATACAGAGAGGAGAGACAGAGAGGAAGATCTTCCATCCGATGATTCACTCCCCAAGTGAGAGCAACGGTCAATGCTATGCCGATCTGAAGCCAGGAGCCTCTTCTGGGTCTCCCACGCAGGTGCAGGGTCCCAAAGCTTTGGGCCGTCCTCGACTGCATTCCCAGGCCACAGGCAGGGAGCTGGATGGGAAGCGGGGCTGCTGGGATTAGAACCAGCACCCATATGGGATCCTGGGGTGTGAAAGGCTAGGACCTTAACCACTGCGCCACCGCGCCGGGCCCAAGCAATGAATTCTTAATCATGATGTTGACAGTTAAACTTTTTTTTTTTTAGATTTATTTATTTTTATTGGAAAGGCAGATATACAGAGAAGAGGAGAGACAGAGAGGGGAAGATCTTCCTTCCCATGGTTCACTCCCCAAGCAACCGCAACAGCTGGAGCTGAGCCAATCCAAAGCCAGGAGCCAGAAGCTCTTCCAGGTCTCCCACGCGGGTGCAGAGTCCCAAGGCTTTGGGCCATCCTCGACTGCTTTCCCAGGCCACAAGCAGAGAGCTGGAAGGGAAGTGGATCTACTGCGACTAGAAACAGCGCCCATATGGGATCCTGGGCATGCAAGGTGAGGACTTTAACCAGTAAGCTATTGCGCCAGGCCCAACAGTTAAACTCTTAAGAAATATTCTGATACAAGCAAGCTATTAACATTGAAAGAATTTAGATACCTGCTACTTATTAGACAAAGTTTTTGTGTAGATTAGTAAACAATTCTCATAACAACATGAAGAAAACAGCCCAATATTTTTAAAGATGAGCAAAAGATTTTAACAGGCATTTATGTGAAGACAATGTTAATGGCAAATGAGCACAGAAAAATGTTCAATGTTTTCAGCCATCAGGGAAATGTAATAAAAACCATAATGAAATGCCAATGCACATTTTCAAGAATGGCCAAAAAACCCCAAAATTAGCAATACAAGTTCTGATGCAGAACAACTGCTTCTAGGATTACAAAATATTACAGCAACTGTGAAAAAGTTAGACTTTCATATAATACAGAAATCTCATTTCTAAATATTTAGCCTTCAGAAATGAAAATTTACCTTTACACAAAAAGCTGCCTGGGAATGTTTATAGTGACTTACAGTCGCCCAAAAGTGGCAACAAACCGCAAGCGCTTCAACAGAATAGGTAAACGAATGGTGCAACCACACTGTGTGATATACTCAGGGACAGAAACGGGACTAACTATGTACATGCAACAGCAGGGATGAATCTCGAACCATTATGCTAGGTGAAAGGAGCTCATTTCAAACAGTTGTAAACTGTATGATTCCATTTATATTAGATTCTTTCACAGGCAAAACTAGTGTGGTGGGTAGGAACGGGGTAGAAGTAGGAAGACAGCAATAGAGGGCATGCAAGTGTTCTACCTACTGACATGTGTGACATGTTCACACATATGTTAAAACTCAGAACTGTGTACCTTTAAAAATCCAAGTTTTGGTATAGTGGTTAAGATAACCCTTGGGACACCTACATCCCATGTCAGAGTTCCTGAGCTGGAATCTTGGCTCCACTTCAATTCCAGCTTCCTGCTGGTATACATCCTGGGAGGCAGCAGGTAACGGTTTATGCAGCTGGACACCTGCCACCCACATGAGACCCAGACTGAGTTCTGAGCTCTTGGCTTTGGCCTGACACAGCTCCAGCTATTGCGGGTATTTGGGGAAGGCACCCAAGACTGGAGAATCTTTCCTGATGTTTCTTTCAAGTAAATAATTCTAACAAATTACATTTTTTAAACAGCTGTGTAATGTTAAAAGTACTCTCACACAAAAGTAATAATGTATATACAACAGGTCACCTCAAAACTTACTGACTTAAGTTTTTCCTTGTCAAAAGTTTACCAGTGACTTTGCAGAGCTTTTTAAATTATGGGTGACTAGAAAATGAAAGCATCAAGTCTAATTTTAAGGAAAGGCAAAAGAGACATTCTTCAAATGCTTTGATGTTATTCTGAAAATCTGAACTATGCAAAAAAGGATCCTTTGCCTAGACTAGATAAACAGTCAATCATATCACTATTCAGGAATATATGTAAATACCATTGACAAAAAGCTGTTTAGGAAGTTTTAAATTAAGGTAAATACCTCAATTAAAACTGCAATTGTAAAGGGAAGTATGTAAGTTCATGAATAAAGATAGGTTACTGGCAAATAGCTTAAAAACTGTATTCACATAAATATGAAATATGAAACATGTACACACACACAGTAGCCAACCTACAAGGTGATCCTGGGCCCCCATGACCTCTGCCTTCGGGGAAGTCACACCCTTGTCCTTTTGACCAACAGTTTATGGTAAAAAGGTTGGCATGTGACTTCTAAGATTGGGATAGATAAACAGAAGATCCTGCAGTTTCTTTTTCAGTCAAGCTCATTTCCTCTCTTGTATCATTCCCTTTGGGGTAGCCAGCTGCAGTGACATGGCAAGTACAGCAACAGAAAAACTGAGGCCACCAGCCAGCGGCTCTCACAGCCCCAGGGAAGCTGCCAGAGCTGCAGCACCAGGTGAAATCCAGACTGCAAGTTCACGGTAGAGCTCTACACCCACAATTTCTAACACCTCATGAAATCAGGATCTAGCCAACGATCACTAACAATGATCACAACAGGTGAACAGCAGAGGGGAAGCTCCATGGCGGATCAATCAGTCTGGTATCTGGACCCATGACCATTCTTAACACCACAAAAGGAAAATGAATTACATGTCTCTGCAACAGAAAGCAAGAGAATTCATGTTAACACATGCAAAGCACTTTGGCAAAAAAGGAAAATACAAGTAATTAAGACAACAAATAAAACAATCACTCTAGTATAGTACACTTAAAGATAAAAGCACTTGTTTGACAAGATGGTGACAAAACAGGACAAAGTCAATAAGCCTTGTAGGGGAAATGGCTGCAATGTCTTTCAAACTCCAAGAGAAGGTTTAGAAGCATAGCATAAGCAACTTTAGTACTTAAAGACAAAATAAATACAAGAAAAGGAGCCAGTGCACTAAATGCTTGCACACAGCCAAGAACTTTTTTCAATAGTGAAGTGAGCCAAAGATGTT